AGGAAGGAAGGAAGGAAGGAAGGAAGGAAGGAAGGAAGGAAGGAAGGAAGGAAACAAACAAGAGGCCCTGTGTGTACCAAAGACAACAGTATGCTACAAATTGAGGTGTATGTTTAATTCTCTGCATCTGGAGTAAAAAACACATGTGGTATGCATCTTTTCAGCTCCTCTCTACACATTCACAAAATCACATAAAACTTTTGTGCACTTATATATCTTTTCTTTTTTGATGTTTTTGTTTGTTTGTTTGGTTGGTTTTTTTTGTCTTTTTTCATGACCGGCAACAGATCGCACCCCTCGGTGTTGCTCCCGCGCCTTGCTCAGCCAGTGAGCGGCCGGTCTGTATGTGGGATCCGAACCCTCGGCGGGAACGCCACTGCGCTTCCCAAGCGGCGCACTGTAGCAGTGCACCACCGGGCCGGCCCCCTTTTTTGATGTTTTTTACCTGGCTAGGATCTTATATATTTTGATCTAGAACTAGGTTTTTTTTTACTAAGTATGTATCTTGGAGCATTTTTTTCATGTCACTACACAAAGATTTGTCTTATTCTTGTTATTACTGCACATTTTTTCACAGTATGAATATACCAAAGTTTATTCAATTAATTATTTAATTACAATGGACATTCAGGTTGTTTTTGCTTATCTTTCTTTTCTCCTCTCTCTCTGGTTGGCCAGGCATCTCTCTCCCTGTGTGCACATCAGCATTTGTACTTCCTCTTTACTTATTTTGTCTCCCCTGGAGTTCAAGATTGAGAGACAATAGACGTGCAAGATGGATTCCGCTGCAGGCAGAGGTGGTGGCTTGAGGCAGGCAGGGGCTACTGTGGCAGATTCACTATTCCTTCAGCCTACCTCCTCCTAACTAGCTGTATGGAGGATATGATGCCACTCAGCAGACATCAGGGCCCTTGCCTTCAAAGACCTCACACCTCGCATAGGGTCAGACATGTGAGTAACCCACGGGAGGCAGAACAGCATAGGGTGGGGGCAGCCTTCCAAGTCCAACTGACTGCCTGGGCTTTCATCCCACCCCACCACTTTCTAGATGTTGGACCTTGGGCAGATTATTTCACTTCCCAATATCTCAGTTTCCCCACCTCTAAAATAAATCTCTTTTTTCTTATAAAGTTGCTTTAAGGGGCCGGCCCGTGGCTCACTCGGGAGAGTGCGGTGCTGATAACACCAAGGCCCCGCGTTCGGATCCCACATAGGGATGGCTGGATCACACACTGGCTGAGCGTGGTGCTGACAACACCAAGTCAAGGGTTAAGATCCCCTTACCGGTCATCTGAGAAAAAAAAAAAAAAAAAGTTGCTTTAAGAAGTAAGATGATACATATAAGGAGCTTAGCACAGTGCGTGGCACATGGTAATCTATGAAGATTAAACTGTTGGGAAACCAGCCAGGCTGTGGTTGTACCAATCAAACAGGGATGCATGCGCTCTGGGCCCTGTGGGGTTTGAAGAAGTCCTCACCAACAAGGGGCATAACCCCAAAGGATGGGCAGCATTTCCCTGGCAGAGCTGGAGGAAGGTATTCCAGGGCATGGAAAGGCAATAGTGAAAGCACTGGGCTGAGAATGGGAGGCATATTTGGGGGATGGGGCGTAGCACCTGTGGCTGGAAGGTCACGTCCATGGGCAAGGGAAGGAAAGGCCTTTCGGGAATGCGTGCAGGCAGTCTTCTGGCACAGAGGAAGGAGGTTCAGGGCCCCTGCATGGACTTGGGTTCCAAAGCTAAAGTTGCAGGTCCACCACAGAACTACTGTCAGAGTTAGGCACGGCCCGGAAGGGAGCTCCCTTTGCACCCACCCTCTGGCCTCCTTCAGCATGGGCCTCCTCCCAGGGCTTGGCCACTCCCAGCATCCAGGGCCCCCACCCCTCAGCAGCCGGGTTGGGAGGCGGGCGGAGGCTTTCCGCGGGGGCTGTGCCGGGTGGGCGGTTTTCCCAGAGCAAGGAGCAAAGCAGGACTGAGTTGGTGCCAACTTCTCCAGATACAGACATCGCTGGCTGGATGGCCAGCCTGCACCAGCTAGCTTGAGCCCAAGGGGTCCCATACGCACTGTGCTCCTGCTCTGTGGGCTGCCGCCCCATACCCCGGGGGGTGGCATGTCAAGGAGGGAGGCCAAAGGGGCACCGGCAATGCCAGGAGTGGGGCCTAGCCGGGCTAAGGCCAAAGCACGGCTTCTGTCCGGCACTGACAGGAAGAGGAGCCGCCTCAGCAGGACAAGGCAGGACCCGTGGGAAGAAACCAGCTGGAGCAACCAAAGATGGAGCAGAGCTGCCCCTAGTCCTCAAGGGGCCAGGGCCAGGGCTAGGGGCTTGGCTCGTGGAAGGGTAAGGAAATCCTGGACCTGCAGAGGGAGCTGGGGAAGCAGGGGATATGGAGGGATGAGATGCCTCCTCTGATGGCAGAGCCTCTCAGCGTTCCCATCTCTGCCCAAGAGAGGGGACACTGGCCCCTCAGACTCCAAGGTGCCATGCATGGGGTGGCTAGGATAAGCCAAAGTTGGTCTTAACCAGAGTGCAGCTCAGAGAGCTCGCCCAACTCACTTCTCTTGTGGAAACTGAGGCCCAGGGAGAGATGTGAATTTCCCAAGGTCCCCAAATAGCCACCAGCAGCAGGGCCAGGACTTCACCTGTGTGTTTTGATCCCTAGTTCCGTGTCCTTTCCTCTTTACCATGGCAGCCTCTTCATTTCAGGACCTGGCTGGGTCAGAGTCCACCCTGCCAAGCAGGGCATGGCTCTGTACCCCCGGTGACCCCAAGGGCACCTTGATAAGCAGCATTCAGTGTTGGGTGTGGGTGGAGCAGGGGCTCTGAGGAGGCATTAGGGAGCAGCAGAGTGAACACAGAACTCTTGGGTTCTGAGCTGAGCTTGGCCCTGCTGCTGCTGTCTGACCCTAGGCCAGGCTCTCCCTCAACTTTCTCAGCTGTAAACAGGACAGGGCTGTGGCCCTTTGGTGTCTGCTGTTCAGCACTCACTACTCTGGTGGGAGACCTTGCACTAGAATGCTCACAGAAGTCAGGGACAGCTGGGGGTCTGGGTCAGACCCACTCACTGGGGCCCTCTGTGCAGAGTGAGGCCAGTCCTGAGAATGCCGCGCGGGAGCGGAGCCGGGTGAGAACACTGCGCCAAGCCTTCCTGGCCCTGCAGGCTGCTCTGCCTGCCGTGCCACCTGACACTAAGCTCTCCAAGTTGGATGTGCTGGTGCTGGCCACCAGCTACATAGCCCACCTCACCCGCACGCTCGGCCACGAATCACCTGGCCCTACTTGGCCACCCTTCCTGTGTGGGCTCTGCTACTTGCACCCTCTCAAGGTAGGTCATGGGCTCAGGGACTTGGGTGGGGGAAGCTTAATGCTCAGGGCTTTGGGGAAGGGGGTTGAGATGGGGGACACTAGATTTGGGCCCCCTGCTCTGGCCAGAGCTGGCACGGGGGCCAGGTTCCTCCTGCTCTCTCAGAGGGAGAGGAGCCAGGGATAGCTCTTGGGTGGGCTGACCCTGTGTTTCTCATGGGGTGGTGGCTGGAAATGGCTTCATGGAAATGCAGTTCCTTCAAGAGAAGGGACATTCATAGAGGCCTCAATGTCTGGGGGGGGATCTTAGTGTCAGGGGGAGAAAAGGAGCAGGTTCCAGGGCTGGGGCCTGGGAAAGGAAACTGCACCTAAGAGAGTCCTGAAATTCAGTTTTATTTTATGTAAAATGGAAGCTAAGACGAGCCTTACTTCTCTTCCAGAGTTCAAAAGGAGATTGTGAATGAAAAGTATAATTACCTGTAGTCACCACTGCAATAACAGCCAACGTTATTTGGGTGCTAAAGATGTATCAGGAGCTGGGCTAAGTGCTTTAGTGCATTTTTACCTTTTAATCTGTGCAAGAATCAAATGAGGATTACTTTACAGATGAGGAAACTGAAGCTTAGGGAGGTTAAGCGGGTGAATGGGGTTTGAACCCACCGGAGTACCTGACTTCAGAGGGAATGCTCACACTTACTAAGCAGGCTCTGGGGACAGCACTGTGAGGAGCTGGGTGAAGAGTGTACTGTGTTAAAAGGGAAGGTCGTCTTTGTCCTCTGAGGATAACATTGTAATGGGGACAACTTTATTTTTATGGAGGATACTTTTTACCATCTCTTTCCCCTCAATGTCATAGTTCTGAAATGTTTTGAAACTTGAGATTTTTTTCTTTCATGCAAATATAGTTAAAACAGAAGAATTTGAGACTAAATAGGGCAACTCTGAAATGTTAGTGGTGGCCCTGGTGTAGGGTCCTGGGGATGCATAACAGTTTCCTTAGCTGTAACATGGCTACCAAGGTAAGGCCTTTGCATGTAGTAGGCAATTGATAAATACTGTATGTTAAAGAATGAACAGTTGAGGGCCAGGTTAGGTCTGGAACTCTGGCAGGTCGTGGGGGTGGGCAGTTAGCCAAGGAGCAGCCCCCTCAGCCCCCAGGTGGAGGGGCTGCCAGAGAGGTGAGCAGACCTCAGGGCAGAGTCAACCTGGCATTTTCTGAGACCACCGTCACTCCTGATGGAAGGATGGGCAATCCTTGGAGGACCCCAGCTTAGAGGGAGTTTTTCTCAGCTCCACTGAACTGCCCATTGCCCAGACCCTGGCTACTGCCAGTTCTGCCCAGGCCACCTGACCTCCTGTCCACCTCCCTCTCAACTGAGGGTTACTCTTCTTGGGCCCTTGCTCTCCTCAGATGGCCCCTCCTGTGTCTCTTGGCCAGGCTGATGGTGGTCAGGAGAATGTGTGAGGCCATCCATGGTGGGGAGCCCAAGACCACTATCATCAGGGCAGTGATTTCTGGGAGAAAGTGTCAGACAGGGGGCTAGGGAAGGCTGAGTTTTGGGTTCTGGACTACAGAGGGCTGTGATAGTGGCATTACTCACCTCCCATCCGTATGTCTTGCAGAAGTGGCCGATGCGATCTCGTCTCTATGCTGGAGGCCTGGAGTGCTCTGGAGTCAGGGTTCTGGACTACAGAGGGCTGTGATAGTGGCATTACTCACCTCCCATCCGCATGTCTTGCAGAAGTGGCCGATGCGATCTCGTCTCTATGCTGGAGGCCTGGAGTGCTCTGGACTTGACTCCACCACAGCCACTGCCTCCAGCCAAAGAATGAGGGATGCAGAGGTGAGGTCCCAAGTCTCTGGAGAGGCAGATGGTCTCCTTTCCACCAAGCCATTCTCACCAGCTCTTGGTGACAAATGATCATCACACTCGCCCTTGTCTCCTAGACTGCGACTCACACTTAGGGCCCTGGACTTTCCACCAGCCCCTCCCTGTCTTCACTCAGACTCGCAGACAGCAGATTTGACTTAGGCTCAGCTCCCCAGTTCCAGCATGCAGACCAGCACAGCAGTGGGCACATCTGTGATGGAGAGTACCAGAGGAGCACAGGATAGAGATCCTCATCCTCGGCACCCTGGAGGGGACTTCCCAGTGGCTCTTCTGTGGCAGCTACAGGAAGTGGAAGAGAAAGGGGTTTGTTTGGGTTCAAGGCTGATTTAGGGTGCCACCCCTTGCTTTTCTCCCCAAGGTTCTATGAACCCTCTGCTGATAGCAAGAAGACAGAAATTGCTGCATAGGTGCAGAGGGAGGGCCCTGGGATGGCAGCAGCCCCGGGTGCTGATGGGAAAGCAAGGGGGCCAGATAGGCTCTTGGTAGCTATAAGCGTGACTAGATCTGGGCTGAGGTCACCCAGATAACCAGAGAGGAAAGCGAACAAGGGAATATGCTTTGTTATTGCACCATGGGATGCTTCCCCAGCGTCAGAGAGGCAGTGAGGAATTCGGGACTCTTGTCTCTGTAGTATGGGTCTCTCCAGCTGTCCCCATCACTACATTTATTCCCTCTCTGGGCCCTGCACCCTTCCACTCTTTTCTTGACATGAGTTATATCTACAGGTTCAGCCATAAAGCTTATACTACTTACAATTCCAGTTTCCAGAGAATCTTTCAGATAGTCCCAGCTACCTAGTTTGAGATCTTATCCCAGAGGCAGCTCTACCTTAATCAAACCAGGCAGCAATGTAAAGCCTCGCATATGAAGGATATCAACAGACTCAATTACATCTACCAAGGATCTTAAAAGAAGAACGATATCTTTTCCATGGGCTGGTAATTACGGTCTTCTCTTTCCATTATGCTAGAAATCTGACCTCATGGAAAAACAAGATAGGCTGGGTTCAGCAGATTCCTTGTATGAATTTTGCCTGAGGCTTCACTGGCTCTGGAATTATTTCTAGTCTATCTACAAATTAGCTCCCCAAGGCCAGCTCCTCTCCATAGGGATTGTCCTCCTGGGCTCTCCCTAAGTCCTGCCACATGGTGTCAGAAATGTGATAGAGCTCTAATGATATTCATCTGCCCTGAAGAAATCATTCGAAGACTAATCACAGAGTCTACACACACTGAAAGTAACCTTCCAGATCAGGTGTAGATTCAAATCTGGCACCTGAGTCCAGATAGGGAAGGAACCACCTTTTTCTTAAATTTCAGTGCTTCAGAGTAGGAGGGGATGGGCAAGGCAGACTAGAGTCCCAACAGGGTTAACCTTAGACACAAGCTGTCATTGTCATCATGAGTATAAAAGAGGTCTGGGCAGGCTGGGAGTGGCTGGGGTCTGGGTTCTGGCATAATGGGCTGTCATTCCTCTACAAGGCCTACCAGGGAAGCAGGGCAAGAGGGCTGAGGGGTGACTAAGCAAGTTGGGGTGGAGGTAGAAAAGGAGACACAGAACGTCCCTGCCCCGAGCTGCATAGAATGTGGGAGAACAGCTGGGTTGTGGCTGAGAGCCATGGGACGACCTCAGCCAAGGCTGAACTCGTAAATCTGCCTTGAACCAAGCCTGTGCTGAGGGACCCCGGAGAGCTTGTGCAGAGCTGCTTCTGGGCAGCTGGACAGGGCCAGGCCGGGGCAGAGACCAGGTGTGGGCGGGCATGAGCACAATGTTCCTCACAAGACCATAAAAGTCCAGCTCGAATGTTCTATTTTTAAAGTCAAATAGCGGCATCTTCCTGGTTGAGTTTGAGGGTGGTAGGAAGAGGAGCAGATGAATTTCCTCCCAAGCTGGTGGCACACAGTCTTTTTCTGGGGATGAAGGGAAACTGGCTTTGGGTGTGTGTTGGAGGTCCCCCAACAGCATAGAGCTCTGGCTCTGCTCAGACTCAAGCCTTTGCCTTGTACTACCAGACCCCTCGGGGGTGACTGTATTACCTTGGTACAGAAGACAGGGAGGGCACAAAGGACATAGCTGGTGAAGGGCTGAGCATGGGCAAGTCTCATCATTTCAAGTTTCTAAGGTTCCTCCCAGGCAAAGTCATTTTCCTTAGTGCCTAGGACAGCCCCGTGGAGTCCAGAGGCCATCTCCTCCAGCTGGAAAGCAGTCAGCACAGTCAGGCCAGGGAGCAAAAGGGGCTGGCAGGGGGCAGAGTGGGCCAAGGGCAGGGATGAGTAGGAATAACCAGAAGAGGGACTGGGCCTCCCCTTCCCTGACAAGCACGACATTGCCCTCCCTCGAGAAATGTCAGGTCAGAGACTTGGATCCAAAAATGAACCAGACCAGGAGCAACCCCCGTTGTCTGCAGCAGAGGAAAAAAACACCTACTCCCCTGGAGACTTTTATCCCCACCAGGCCTGGGGGGCCAAAGGGGATGAGAGCAGGTAGAGGCAGCAGAGGCAGCAGAGATTCGGGTCCAACAACAGCTTTGTTGCCTAGGAACAGGGTATGTGGAAAGAAGCTCCAAAAGGAAACAGGAACGTGCATGACAAATGACACGAAGGTGGCCTGGCACTGGAGTCAGAGGAATGGCTGCTCCATAGTGGCCTGGCCAGTGGTCCGGGCCCAGGACTGGAGGTGGGGGTGGAGGCAGCAATGTGAGGGGACTTTCCCACACCTCACTCCACAGGAACAGGGTGGCAGGGCCAGGGCTTAGACGGGCTTGTGTGTGGCTGCGGGAGAAGCAGAGGTGACCGGGTATATCTGCATCTTATGGCAGAGACTGTGGATTTTACCAAATTGGAAACTAGAGTAATTAGAAGATCTAGTCTTCTCTGGAAAGTTCCTGCTCTCTTCCTCTGGGAGGAGCGTGGTTGGGAGGAGTCAGACGGCACCGTCCTTTCCCTTTTGTGGCACAGCCCTAAACCCAGGGTGCCTGCAAGTTGATTCTATTCTAAATCAGGAGAAGGCAAACTGTGGGCCAAATCCAGCCCCCTACCTGTTTTTGAAAATAAAGTTTTATTGGAATCCAGCTACACCCATTTGTTTAAGTATTATTTATGGCTGCCTTCCTGATGCCATGGCAGAGTTGAATAGCTGTGACCCTAGGATCCCTGAGACACTTAAGGTGGTCTAAGCAGCCAAAACTATTTTTTCTAATACAAGATGCTATTTGCCTTTTTCAGTCTTCTCTCACAAGCATAGTGGAATTTTCCAGAAGCCACATGACATGGGATATTGCAACAGATGGAATGTAAGAGCAGATAGAAGAATCCAGCTGTTACAACAGACATTAAAAATATTCGCAAAAATGTAAAACAGTACCACACTTCTCACTAAATATTTTCCAATATGGAAAATAATTATTTTTCATAAAAATGTTACATAAGTTCACATATAATGTGTTAATTAATTAAAGTTATCTTAAAATAAATATTTTTTAAATTCTCTATTTTAATTTCTAATGTGGCAACTATCAATAGATATAATCCACGTAAGCAAAAGCTCTTTAGGGTCCTAATTTTTAAAGGATGTAATGGGGTCCTAAAACCAAACACTCTTAGAACCTCAGCTTTAGAACAGACTGGTGGTGGTCAAGAAATCTCCTGCCCTGTCTGCAGGCCCCGTACTGTGGTACCTCTACCCTCTGCCCAGAGCAAACGCAGTGGGTTGGTCCTGACTCAGAGTGCCTGGTGGAGTGAGGACAGAGGCCAGGGTCCTGTGTCCACGTCACAGGGAGGTCTCCTGGAGGACGAAGGTGGGGCTGCTCCCCTGATAGGCTGAACTGTCTTTGGCCATCGCCTCCTCTCTGCTGTCCCTCAGCACTCCATTCAGCATCTTCTCTGGAAACTGGTCGGTGTCCAAGGGCAGGCTCTGGGGAACATGCACAGTAAAGGCAGTGGAGCTGGTGCACATAGACAAGGGGTGGTGAAGTGATTAATGCAGAAAAAGTGGGCCGGCCCGGTGGCGCACTGGAGAGTGCACCGCTTGGGAGTGCGGCAGCGC